ACACACAATGTTCCCCAATAACCAGTTTGGGTTTGAGTTTTCTTAACTCTAACCCGTTGTCCTGCCCCCTCCTCCTGAAGCCCAGCATAGGCGCTGTCCCTCACTGGGTAATTCGCCTGAGCCTAATTTCGAGGTGTTAGAGTGCAGCTGTGTGTTGCTGGATGTGTTTCAAAAAGAATAAATTGGGGTTGGACTCTTTCAGCTCCAGGAGAGGCTATTTTAGGTTTCCCTCTTTCATCCTACAAACTCAAATAGCTGGCAGGGCTTTGTTCACATTTCTCACCCCCCCCCACGCTAACAGCAACAATTTCCCCTCACCCCCGCAAAAAAACATCTCTGGGCCAAGAGCAAAACCTGGATCATTTCATTCCAAGGGGTAATTTTTTTTATTTGTAAGGAAGCCTGTGAAAATAGGGGTTGCAGTGGAGATGCCTTTGCGCTGTTAACTACAGCAGGGCCGTGCTGGCAGCATGCACGTAGACCTAGGTTACAGGCCTAGTATAATTTTGATGCTGCACATGTAATCTATCAGGAAAATGTGACTGCAGCAGGTCAGTTCCCCATATTTCCCCCTGAATACCCTTTTAAAAGTGGTCATTTCTCCTGACAGGCTGGTAAGTGGCTTTCTTTGAGAGATGCTCAATGTCTCCCCGTGGCTGAAGTGCCACGTGCAGCTGTGACACGTTGAAGCTGCAGTAACGATGCATTTTTTGAGTAAGCGAGTTAATGGGCATGTACAACACACGCAACTTGTCAGCCCCGTTAGCTGCTGCCGCTGCCTGGGGCTGAAGTAAATTGCCCAGCCTCTCCCGTGCTCTCATTCTGGGTCTCCCCCCCAAAGCTTTCCTGGTGTTTTGATTTTCAGAAATGGGCTTGCTGAGGCGGCTTCAGCCGCAAGGGGCCTCTGGCTTCGCTGACTCAGCTGTTTTCCTTGGTGCACTTACCCCTGGTGCATTAGCAGGGAAGGGGGAGAGAAGGAACCCCCACATGGAGTGCTGTGGCTCCTTATCGCTAGCAACCATGTTAGCCTCCCCTGGCTTGCAGAATGGCATTACCCTGTATCCCTCTCCCGGGGGCCAAACTTTGCAGTGCTCGTTCTATCACCTGGGAATGGAATCCCCGAGAGCAACCTCTGCGGTAAAGGGGAACAATCCAGCCCCACAGCCGTACTGAGGGTATTTTAATGGGGAAGTTGGTCTCTTCCTTTTGGGCTAGGTGCATTATACAGAAGAGTGCGCCATCCAGGCCAGGACTCAGGGAGACCCTGTGTGGTGATAGTAGACTGCATGGGCTGTGGTTAGCTAATCCAGAAGCTAGAGGGACAAAAAATCAAAGGGCCTAGTCTGTGACAAGCAGCCTGAATCTTGCAGCTATGCTCGTAACTAGAGCAGGTAAAAAAAATTATGCCCTCTTTTGGAGAATCAAAAACTTACTAATTAAAACCAAAGTCCTGACTCATCCTTCTCCCAGGAAGATGACAGCCTGTTAGCCTTACCGCTTCCCTCCCAGTGAGGCTAGCCCTGCAAAAGAGGTGGCCACTATATTCTACAATGGAGGGTGCAGACAAAAACGGAAACCCAGGGAGAGCTAGGGTGCAACCTGCAGTTTGCCTCCTCGGTATTATAGAGTTGGGACTTGCCAAGTGTACAGGCCCCCGCATATGATGCTCCATGTTGAGCCAGGCAGCCAAGCCACAGAACCTAGGTACGTCTGCAAAGCACCACGTATGTGTACCGAGTGTGTGTGATTTTGCAATGCCCACAGATTGAAAGGAAGATCGAAATGTATAAATTAATTTCCCCATCTTTCTCGGCGACCTTTCGGCAGGGATTTTCTGAAACTCAGCATCGGCCTCTCTTCTACCATTGAGGTCAATGGGGGTTTATCATTCACTTGCTTCATTAATGGGAGCAGACTATGGCCAAAGCTGAGTGCTTTGGAAAACCTCATACTTTCTCTCCCCAGGCTGCACCTCTATTTTGAGGACAAGCAGGACAGAAGTCAATTTATGGAGCTTTAGTGAGGCCCCGATGAGATTGACCTGACTGGACTGTCACAAGAAGAGGTGCAAACATTGCTAGAAAGAGAAGGGTGGAAGCAGAAGCGTTTGTCTTTTCATGAGATTTTTAGAACTATGGGGACATCTAAGTCTGTTGAGAAGGCAAAGCCATTCCTGCCCAAATCAGAGGCGGCATTGGAGTGTGTTGAGCCCTTCAAATGTTGGGTAGCATGGCTACAAGAGATGTTACACATCAGTTAGCTAGAACTGGACTTGTGACTGCTGGTCTAGCAACACCAGCCACATTTGGCGAAGCAAAGGTATAACCAAATGTAAAATGAAATTGCTGCAGTCTCTCGTCTTCAGTATCTTGCTACATGCTTCTGCCTTTGAACTGAAATGTTACAGGTGGTTGCTGCATGTGAGCTATATCTACCACACAATTAATGAGCAAGTAATCAGCCGTTTTACTGCCTAACCAGAGTGATACCAGATAGTGTCAAGACGATGAGACGAAGAAAACTTGAGTTTGTGGGAGATGTGAGTCGATGAGCAGAATGAAGATTGCTGAGGCAAGTCTTGCAGGGACTGATGCCAAGTGCCAGGGGCAGAGGGCACCCACAGCACATGTGGTTCATGGGGCAGCGTGATGCGCTTCTTAAGGTGGTGTAAAGACTGAAATGTGGAAGATGATAGCAGGCCAAGGACTCCCGTATGCTGTGTTTATGGTTCTTTGTGATGCGACTTGCCTTGCACTATGAGAATAATAAATAAAATAGTAAGGGTGCTTAGGTTGCTGGTAATTTGCTTGCCCAGCCCTTAGCCAGGCAAAGTTGGAGCATCACCCTGCCTTTCTGTAGTGAATATTCAGTGTGCAGCAGATGTTTGTTTACCTATGAAAAACAGGTGAACACATTCAAGTCAGAAGAGAAACACTACCTCCTTTGTTCTTGAGTTGGCACATCCCTAACCCTGGAAGAAGGTGGAGTCACCTCACGATGCCAGTCTGTCAGTCTAAATAACTCTCCTCTGAAGTTTTTCTTCCTTATATTTTTTTTGAGAGGATACTACTCCAGTCAAAATGTGACTTGTGAGCAGGCTCTTTCCCTCAGTTACACTGATAAAGCACTGGATTTGCTCTGCATATATACCAGGGTAACGGACCACAGAATTTGGCTCTGCACTTTGAAGTCCTATGATTCATGTTATCTGGACAGATCTGGGTCCAGCTAGCAGAGACTGGCAAAGCACTTTTGAATTATGCAGAGCTGAGGAGATGGCCCTTTATTTTTCCAGTATACAGCAGAACAGAATTAAAAAGTAGACCTGGAAATCAGAGGAGGGAACACACAGGAATCATCATCTGAATTGGTGTAACAACCTGCAGGACCCATTCTTTGTGCTTAATTCTATGGGAACTGGAACTGCAAATATTTACTCAAAATTAATATCAATACTAATAGTCATCAACAGGAAGTCCCTGGGCCATTTCTTAAGGATCACCTTAATATTGTCTGCCTTGAAAGAAGGTCCTGAGTGGGCATTGCAGTAGCTGTAATGTTCAAAACAAATCTAATGGTTTGCTTTACTTTTCCCCTCAGCAGAGCTCTTAATTATGTATCTTGCAAATGTGCTTGGAAAATGGATTAGATGCACTAGCTGTTTACTACCATGGCAGAGCCTTTTCCAAAGCATTTGTAGTGGCTCCCAAGTATTATATCCACGGTCCCTGCTCTAGCAGTGCAAGCATGTGATCAGGAAGGACCCGCTTTGGTTCAGTGTGAAGATTAGCCTGGGTTTTGTAGACCAGATGAAAGGTATTTTGCTTGAATCAGTCACAGCTGTCTCTGCTCAGAAGTAAGGAATAGGGACAATTTATGCAAGGTTGGTTTACTTTGTTGGTATGTTGTTGCCAGGGTTCCTTCCCCACTCTGAACTCTGAGGTACAGATGTGGGGACCCACATGAAAGACCCCCTAGGCTTATTCTTACCAGTTTAGGTTAAAACTTTCCCAAAACACAGATCCCATTCTTGCCTTGGGATCACTGCCACCACCAAGTGATTTAAAAACAATCAGGGAAAGGACTACTTGGCGTCCTATTTCCCCCAAAGCCTATACACCCCCTTTCCTGGGGAGGCTTGAGAATATCCTAACCAACTAGTTACAACATGATCAAAGACCCAAACCCCTGGGTCTTGGAACAATGGAAAAATCAGTCAGGTTCTTAAAAAGAAAGATTTTATTTAAAGAGAAAAGGGTAAAAGAATCACGTCTGTAAACTTAGGCTGGTAGTTAATCTTACAAAGTAGCAGAAAATTCAAAGAGCACAGAGGAACCCCCTCTAGCCTTAATTTCAAAGTTACAACAAAACAGAAATAAACCTCCCTCTAGCAAAGGGAAAATTCACAAGTTGAGAAAACAAAGGTAAACGAATATGCTTTGCCTGGCTGTTACTTACAAGTTTGAAATATGAGAGACTTGTTCAGGGAGATTTGGAGAACATGGATTGATGTCCGGTCCCTCTTAGTCCCAAGAGCAAACGGCCACAGAAAACAAAGAACCCCCACCACACACACCCCGGATTTGAAAGTATCTTTTGTCCCCATTGGTCAGGTGCCAACCAGGTTACTTGAGCTTCTTAACCCCATACAGATAAGGGGGAATTTAGGCTACCCCTACGGTTATGACAGTTGTTTTGCAGGAGGATGATGGGAGAGAATACCAGGAGCATTTAAGAAACAAAAACACACACATTAGAGGAATTTATCTCAGAAGCAATAGCTGACGTGAGGTGTGGCAGGACAAGGGAGAGCAACCAGGCTGAGGATTTTGCAACATGCAAAAGGAACAACAGTCAAAAACCAAAGTGTTGGCATAGCAGCAGAACACGGCATACTTCCCCTCTTTCCCAATGCACAGAGTATACTATAATAATTATAACTATAACTAATGCACCTTTCCTCCTTACTGTCTAACCTCATCTGGTTTCCCCCCACACAGTTACAAGACCCTGCAGAAGACTGGAGCACCTTCAGCACCCCAATGGGAGAGAGCCTGCTCATCTGAACCTCATGCAGCTACAATTAACTGCACAAGGGATGGTTTTCTTTTTTCAACTAAAATTTCCTGGGAGGAAATGACAATAATCCAAGCTCATAGTGCAGACCAGGGGCATTTTCAAAGGCACAAAGTGGAGTAGGGTGCCTACCTGCCTTTTGTGCCTTGGGAAAACATGTGGCTGTTATGGGCTGCTCCAGGAACACTAGCTTTTGTTTTTTGTAATTTCGAAACATTTATCTCTGGGTCTGTGTGGCAGTGTATGCACACCCCATCTCCTGGCAGGGTGGATAGTGGGTGTGGTGCCACAGTTACAATACCAGACTGTCGTGGGCATCACCATGATGAGGTCCAATGGCCAGAATCCCTACCACAGCCTTCAGGTACAGGGCAGCATGGCCTAGCAGCTAGATCCAGGGGCCACCACCAGATGGGGTGGCAGCCAGGGTAGGGGGACCCAGGCCCACCTGACTTCACTGGGTCCCAACCTTGTGCCTTAATGGCAGAGTGATCTACCGCTGGGTCAGTAGGGAATCCAACCTCAACATGCTAGCCTTAGATGGGTGGGAGATAGCACTCACTCACTCACCCACCCTTCCTGGGTCACTTCCTACCAGGTTCCTGAAGCTGCAGTCCACAGGGCAACAGGTCTTCAGTCCAGGTCACAGGATCTCCAGCTCCTGCACTACAGCCTCCACCACATATCCTTCCTTCTTGGCAGACAAACCAGGTTGAGCTGAGCTGCTCTACTTTTATACTAGCACAGCATTTGGAGCATGCCCAGCACGGTCTGAGGGGCGGGGCTTTCTCGGCCCATAGTGGGGGATTAACCCTTTCCTGCCTAGTGCACACCCTGTCACAGCCTGTAACCTGCAAAGATCAAAATCCAGCCAACAATCAGAGGCCTGGAGGCAGTGAGATGGGACAGCAATACTTCACTTTCATAATCCAGACAGTACAAATAGCTGTTGAAATCAGAGCTATTATTAAAGATATGATGAGTATACACCAAGCATGACCTCTCCCTTACAGCAGCTGGTGCTTTAAATGCACCGAGCTTAAGGTAACCATTAGTATGGACAGAGATGGGAAGACTTTGAGGGGGGGCTATGGTGCAATTCTCTAATCACAAGCTCTGAGGGAGGGCTGAGACGATTGGTACTAATGGATAACTGAGTACTGAGTATTGAGGAAAGTGGGTGGATGCTGTATTTTATGGGAATTGAACAGACATGAGCTAACTGGAGGGTCTGGATGCTGGTCCACAAAGGGAGACGGGTGAGGTGATATCCCTCTTTTTGACTGATGTGTAAAGGCAGTCTGATAGGCTTTTCTAAAAAAATTTTGTATGGTGTTTTCTAATCTGCTATACAGATCTCCTGACCTATAAGAATCTCTACATTGAGCAGCAAAGAGTCCTGTGGCACCTTATAGACTAACAGACATATTGGAGCATGAGCTTTTGTGGGTGAAGACCCACTTCATCTGATACATGTGATACATTGAGCAGAGGGCTCAGCTAATCCAGCCCAAGTGAAATTAACTGGAAACAGACAAGCACTATGTGATAATGGCATCATAAGCAGCAAGGAAGTGAAATCCAAGGAACAGACAAAGGATTTTTGTAATACGTACTGAACAGAAATGCTATTTGAACAGTTGGGAGAAAAGGTCTCTGAAGGGTCCCCCATGTTGCAGTTTGCTGCTCCTCCAAGGAGATTGCCACCAAAACCAGACTTTATTTTTAAGTTAGAACACTGAAAAGGGAGATTTTCTGAGGGCACGAGGGGAACTTTCAGGCCCTCCAGCTCGGTCATCAAGAAGCAAAAGAATCTCTTTTCTTGCAAGTCACTTCGGAAAAGATGAGAGGGAAAGAAGGGGGGTGGAGCTGATAAATCTATAACATTTTGCTTTGAGGAAAAGCCCCCTTTCAGCTGATTGCCTCCTTGTTTTGGTCAAAACACAAGATGGGGGTAGAGGTTAGATATAAAGAATAACATGTTAAACATGCAGCTGTGCGCCCCCCCCCGACCGGGCGGGGGCCCGAAACCCCAGCTCTTTCCAGCGTCAACCCCCAAGTCAAATCCCTTTCCTTGGCCGCCCACCACCAAACTATCGGTCGGGGAGTTTCCTCCCCCAAAACTCCCAAAACCGCCCCCCTTCCGGACAAGGTTTGGAAAAAGCCCCCAGCGGGCCAGCCCCCCTGTCTTAAGACAAGAACAACCCCAACCTCCCCCCCCCCGGGAAGTTGGATAAACCCCCCAATTTGCGGTGACCACAGCCCAAACCCTTGGATCTGAGAACAAGAAAAAGCTTCGTTTTTCAAGAGCTTTTAAAAAAAAGCGAAATGAACCCCGTAACGGTGGGTCTTACGGGTTTGTTCAAAACGCCCCGCAAACCTAGTTCAAAGTTACGCAGTTTTCTTTCGCCTCCGCCTTAAAGTCTACACCCCACATTTACAAAGTCAGCCCTTCGCGGCCAAGCCTACACCCCAGCCCTTTGCCTCCCCTCGTCCCGCTTTGACGCCTCGGCTTTGGCGGGCCGCGGTTCTTTACCCTTACGGGGGGGCCCGGCCGAGGGTTTCAGGGGTTTCCCTTCCCTTTATTGCCCCCCAAACCGCAGTGACCGGTCCCGGCCAGGAAACGGTGCCCCCAAAATACTACCAAGACTAAAGCAACAATTTCCACTCTCGGCTTTTACCAGTTGGGGAACTTCCGGGCCGCCCGTTGAGCCCGGGGTTGGACCGAAACAAATCTGGAGAGCTAAACCCCCGAGTTTTTGTTGTTTCCTGCGGGTCCCTCGGCGCGCGGTTTGCGGGCCGTCCCCAAACGGTTTCCGGCGCTCTCTTTCGTGCCCGGCTTCCCTCTCGCTTGCGGACCACGGTGGTTCTGTCGCTTCTGCATTAAACCCCCCCCCCGCCGGGTTCAGGCTTGTCAGCGGGGCCCAGCAGGGTCGCGGTCGCGCGTTACCCGCCCGGTCCACTGACGCGGTTTCTGGGGTCGTCGGGGCGGGGTCCCGTAATAACCGCGCCAAGAGGTTGCCGTTCTTGCTTGGCCCCTTGGCCCGGGGGGCTCCTGCCCCCGGCCTCCCGTTTCCTTTGCGTAACGCCGCCCCCAAGGTTGAGGCCGGGGCGCCCAGGAACAAAGCCCGGGGCCTCACCCCTGGAGCCCAGCTGGAAGGGGCCGCGCCCAAAGGGGTCAAATCCGCCCGAGGGGTAGCGCTCCTGGCGCCCGACCCCTGGTTAGTCCAGGAGGTCGCCCCGTCCAAGTTCCGGGGGGGGGGGTACCTGACCCAAACTTCCCCGGTGGGACAGACCCCTCGGGGTCCCCGACACCCCCTAGTAGGGCCAGGTTGGCCCTATGGGTGGCCCGGTCAAGGGGCCTCGCGCGGGGGGGGCTGCGCGGCCCCCGTCGGCCGCCCCCAAGGGTCATTCCCCTTCCACACCACCCCTCCCGGTAAACCCTCGCCCCCCCCCGCTAAACTGCAACCTTAATTCCGGAAAAGGGCTAGAGTTTGGCCCGTTCGGTTGGGGTGGGGAGCTTGGTATTAACGCCCCGCCGGACCGGACTCCCGGCCCTTTTGCCGGCCCTTAAGCCGCGTCTCCTACTTGAAGCCTCTGGCTGTTTTCTCCCTTTTGTTCTTTTGCCCGTGTTTCCAGCAGGGCTAAAGGGTTCGGGGGTGTTTGGGTTGGTTACAAAGTCCAGAGTGGCTTCACCAACGCAAGGCCCCTTAACCCCGCCAATACAGTTCAAATGGGGAAAACCAAAGGGGGCCCAGCAAGCCGCGCAACCAGTCCCATCGGGGCCTTTAATTCGCAGGCCCCCAAAGTTCCTTAAACTCCCACCTGCCTTGTTTGAGGGAAGGAGGCAACCAAGGTTTCCCCGGCTTCCCAAGGTTTTCTAGTCGCCTGGAAATTAGTCCCGCACGGTGAGGAGTCGGAGGCCACCTACCCGGCAAAAATGTCGAGTGCCTCACCTTAGCCCTGGTGTTGTAGAGCTACGCTCCCCACGGGTGGCAAAATCCATGAAAGTCAGTGTCGCTTCCTCTGGGTCTTTTGGAAAAGACCCAGAATATCCCAGCTCTCGCTGAAAGGAACTTCAATGATGGGGGGGGTCTTCCTTCCAAATTCGACCCCCAATTCCCGTGCAGTTCTTTTGAACAATTCTGGTTTTTCCCAAAGTTTCTTATAATTTTTAAAAATAAGAAGGGGGGTCCATTCTGGGTCTCGGTCTGGATTCTTGATGAGATCGTTCCTCGGGTTGTGGACAGGTTGTCCTCTGGAGGTATAGGGGATGGAGTTTCTGTTGAGTGAACCGGGCATGTTGGGTCGGCTGTCTTGGGGGGTATGCCTCAGGTTGGGGGCCCTGTTGGTAAGTAGGTTCAGGACAGGGGTCTGGTGTTGGTTGTTGGTGTGGTTCTGGGAGTCGCGTCTGGGACGTCCACTACTTGCAGAGGTCCACCTCATCTGACGGGTCCGAAGAAGTTTCCGGAACAGAGCTCCATGTTTAGGGCGCCACTCTTGTTCACAGTCACCCCAACAGCGGGGGGGATATCACAAGCCAAAGTCCCCCCCGCCCTTGCGACAGCGTAGGCAAATTGAAAGAGTTGGATTGAAGGGTTGAAGTCACTTGGATTCTGGGTTGTTAAAGGGGCACAAGAAGCAAGACATTCGCCTCCACAGGATTCCCACCTCAGTTTTCGCCAAGGATCTGGGAGGTATCTGGGGTGGATCTGGTGTGTTCGCAAAAAATCGTTGGGGTTCTGGGGGGTAAGTAAAAATCAGGCGGTTGGGGGGGGGGAGAACGGGGTGGTGGGGTAGGGGTCTGGGGGCTTGGGGGTAGGTGAGGTTGGCCCCGTAATAGGGGTGGTTGGGGGCCTTCTCGCCCAATGAATTTTTTTCTCCACCTCCACCATTCTAATTTCCTGCTCAATTACAGTTTTGGTCCCATCTAGGTGTATTTTCTATTTCTCAAAATCTAAGAATTGTCATTTGTTAGGAAGAATTATGAGATTAATTTATAAATGTTTAAATGTGGAGGGAATGATCGGTTTCCTATCTGAACTAGATTTCCCATTGATTTTATTTAAAAGTTTATTGTTCATGTGTTCTTTAATTTGTATAGTGTGAGTGTTATGATTGGTCAGTAGAGTGTTGACCCAAGGGCTTGAGTTCTCTAAGAAGCTATATATCACTGTTGTAGGTGGGGAATTTCTGGGATGGGAAGTGGTATGAGAAGGATTGTAGGTTTGTTGGTATATTCTGTGCTTTATCCTCTCATCTCCTCCATTCTCTCTTTTTCCTTCTCCTCCTGTCCTTCTCATTTTTTTTTCGTGTGTTTATTGTCTTTTTCCTTTTTTTTGTGAAATTTTAATTCCAGTGTAGTGGTGGGTTTCTTTATTCTGTTTTTATACTTTAGAGTTTAGAAATAAAGAAAAAAATGAAAATTTTGTGTGTGATAATTATTTTGATAGTGTTGCTACAAAAAAAATTCCTTTTCTGTTAAATTAAAAATAATTTAAACTTTAAAAAAAAGAAATTATATTTCTTTAAAGAAAAAAAAAATGGGTTGAAGTTAATTTCCTGCAGGTTAATTGTGAAAAAAAAATATTTTTGTTTGTTAAGGAAAATTTTAGTTTAAAGTTTTGCTTTTTTAAAAAAAAATTTTTTTAAAATTGTATTTCTAGTTCAAAAATTAACTTCTCAAATTTTCAGGTTATCCACACATTCATCCCTCTGAACTCTAGGGTACAGATGTGGGGTAGAAAACTCCTAAGCTATCTTTACCAGTTAGTAAAACCAATAAAAATATTACATTATCTTGGAATGTACCCAAACTAATACTGGTTACTGGGGAAGAGTGTTTGATTTTCCCCAAAATACTCCCAAAACTTCCTTTGGACAAGTTTGTAAAAGTAAATTTGCTAGGTGCTACAACCCAACCTTGATCTTAAGAACAATAACAATCCTCCCAACATTACCCCCTCTCCTGGGAAATGTTGGATAAAAATCCAATTTGATAGGTGAAAAACTTGGATCTGAGAAAATAAAAGATAGTTTTTACAAGAAGATTTAATAAAAAAATAGAGTAAATAGAAATAAAAAATCCCCTGTAAAATCAGGATGGTAGATATCTTACAGGTAATTAGATTCAAAAAATAAAACCTTAGAAACTTAAGTTAAAAAAGATATAAGAAAATAGTTATTCTATTCAGCACAATTTTTCTCAGATTTAAAGAATCATAATCTAACACATACTACTAGATTACTTATAAAAGTTCTAAGACTCCATTCTGTTTGTTTCCAAACATACAAAAATTCCCTTCCTTCCCATTTGAAAGTATTTGTCTCCTCATTGTCATTTTGGTCAGGTGAGATTATCTTTAGTTCTAACCCTTACAGGTGGAGGAGTTTCCTCAGGAGGGATTTCAAAGGGGTTTACCCTTCCCTTTATATTTATGACAAGCCTGCACAGCTGGACCAATGACAGTGATGTGGGCCCTGTTTCTTATTGTCATTCCCAGCTACCCAGAAACACACGATGTTTTAATGATGGATGAATAAATGCACTAAATATAACTGCACTCAACAAGGGGCCGTAAGGCGCGATTTACCAAACATTTTGCCACTGTTCTTGCTGATGGGTCTCAGAAAGCCCGGCCCGCCATATCATGAACTGAGTTACACTGCGTTACAAGCAACC